TATAAGGGCGAAAGGGTAAATCTGATAATAATTCATCTGTAATAATTGTTTTATCAAATCCTAGAACTTCTGGACCTAAAAATTTTGTCTTGGTTTTGAAAAGTTGATAATATACAGAAGAAATAGCTACTGTTGCTATTTTGCATATATCACTTTGAATCTCACCACATTTACAAATATACCCGGGGCATGAACCAAAAGCAGAATTAGATTAAACTACTTCAGTAATAAATTTACATGCTTTTAATATGACTAATGTTTTAAAATATAATCGAATAGGGTATAGCTAGATTATTTTATTCACTTTATCAATGGGCTGGGAAAGCCACCAATTATAGCAAAAAGGCCCAAAATGCAAGCCTTCATCCCAAATACCGCGAGAAAGTAATAAAATTGTATATTCTTGTGTTTGGGCATGTAAAAAAAAAAATGTCTAGTGAACTTTAGTAGATTCTAATACACGTTCAAAACCTTTAAGTTAATTATCCCTGCACTTTAATATTAAAATTCACTGATCTGCATGCGGATTACAAATTAACTTATTAACTTTAAATTAAATTTTTGAGGAATATAGAACAAGGGTAGAAGAAAAAATTGAGCTTAAAAATTAAATTAAAATTTTGCTAATTTTGTACAATATGAAAATTTAACTTTTTCAAAATCAAGTATTTTTCGATTTTAAAATAATTAATATATGTAAAAACATGCTTTGAACAAGTTTACTTAGAAGTTAGAAGTAGATTATCTTGTAAGAAAAATGTATTATCTATATACTAAAGTTAAAAATTCCAGTTTTTCTATATACAACTTTTTTTTTATTTATATAATCTGCTTTCATCTTCTAAGTAAAGTTGTTTAGCATAAAATTTTATATTTATATAGTTTGTCGATTTTCATTTTCTCAAACCTTTTACTAAATGAAAAATGTGGTTAAAGTTGAAAAAAAATTTTTTTTTTTCTTCTTAGAACAATTTATTAAAATATCTATTAAACAAAATAAAACTAATAATAATAATAATAAAGCTTATATATATATATATCAAATGAAACTACTTTACTTCAA